GGCTCAAACCAAACTATTTGATAATTGAGGGTATAACACTTGGAATTAGAGTGTTCTGGTTTTAGTAAGTGCCAAGTGTTTCTGAAAAACCCGCCAAACTCAATGTTGGAATGGGCTGTAACAAAATGTAAAATCTCTCCTAATACAGATTCTTTGTTTGCTAATCAGCTTCATTTATGAACAATATTGCTTGTTTTCATTTTTCAAAAAACACTTTTCAGAAAATTCTACTTTCTTATTTTCCATGTTGTTTTGTTTTTACTGAATTTTTTAAATATTTTAAGCAATTTTTTTACTTTTTAGACACACCTAACATAAATATACCTAAAAAGTAAAAAAATTGTAAAAAAAATATTTTAAAAATTCACTAAATACCAAAAATAAATAAATAAATCCAAAAACAACCAGCACAACCATTGTTGCTGTCAATGTCTTATCTTCACCTTTCAAGTTATCACACTCATTTTATATGGAAAGAAAACAACTATGTCAGGGATATCACACATCGCTAAAACATCAAACATGTGTTCGCAGACAGGCTGACAAACACACACACACGCACACAGCACAACTGAAGAGGAAAATGTTTACCTGACTAATATCCTCCAGAAAAAACCTTTCTAATTCCCCAGAAAGATTTCATAGACCTAGCCATTTTTGAATGACTTCTCAAATGTGCATGTTCTCAGCATAAAGAAAACCAGCAACAAATGTGAGTGTTCATGTGAGACTATATGATGAGGAATAATGCAGCTGCAGTTGCCTTGCCTAATAATGCAGCTGCCTTGCCTAATAATGCAGCTGCAGTTCATTGATGCAGCTGCCTTGCCTAATAATGCAATTGCCTTGCCTAATAATGCAGCTGCAGTTCATTGATCAGCAAAACTCATGACATCAATTTTGCTAACTTTGTCCTGAGTATTTCATCGTTATGAATTTTAATACATCAAACAACCATGTAATTGCAGTGTAACTTCTTTTCATGATATTTGCATTTCATGTTGTGATAACCCAGAATGAGATTCTCATTCTGCCTTAATATTCCAGCCATCCAAACATAGTTGAGAAAGCTCAAAAATCATTATAGGACATTCAAACATATTGTTGTTTTATTGTTGTGTTATGTCCTTCACATTATGAATCGAGAGTGGCGTTGAACCGGATAGAGAGTGTATCTGGATAGACATTATTTTTTAGTGTTTTGTGTTTATTTCTAAATTTTGTTTATGTGTTCGTAGCAAAACTGTTAAATTATTGGTATTTTTTTGAATTGACAGGTATTAGAGGTGATGTTTGAAGGGGAAATGGATAGAGAAAAGTGGAAAATGCCAAAGGAGTAAGAAGAGGAAGAAGAGTTTTGGGGGTTTGAAGATCTTGAATGTGAATGTGACAGTTCATTCTCAACCTCAACCAGAAGTTCTTAATTAGGATGATCAAATCTTAATGTAAATATAAAGTGTTCATTTATTAACTTTATTAAAAATGAATAGTAATGAAAGCACTTTTTCTTTTTTCTTTTTTTTTCAAAGAAGACATTGAATTGATGAGAATTTTGAGGAAGATAACACAACTCTTATTACTATTAATCATTTTTGGCACCAACACTTATTTGTATCCTTATGAATAAAGGCGGCTATGGTAATCTCTTCACAAAGAGACTACAATTTACATTCTTCTATCAGACACGTAAAGAAGAAATCGAGAGAGAACTTCGAAATCGCCGAACGAATCTGAGATTGAATCACCGAGCTGAAGAAGGTTGAACTTTGAAATCACGTTCAATCGATCAATAGATCTTCAATCGATCGATCTGATCTAGATAAAACCTAGCAAACTCGAACATGAACTAGAGATAGATTAATCGATTACCAAATGAAGGGGTTTGAATCGAGAGAAACGAAAGGGTTTGAAGCAAGAGAGAGTGAAATCACGGGTTCGATGGAGAGGGTTGAGAGAGAGAGAGATATGAATCAGGTTTTGTTCAGATCGGGGCATCGATCTGAATCTTTTTTTATTTAAGCTTCGATGGAGAGGGGTGAGAGAGAGAGACCTGTGCGCATGTATTAAGGGTTGAGAGATCTGTGCGTATGTAGGCTCTGATTCAAAATAAGGTTTTCACAGAAAGGGGCGCGTGTGGGTCACCACATTCGGAGGCGATTTTAAACGCCTCCCATTATAAAACGGTGTCGTTTTGTGAAATATAATAGACGGCGTTTTATAAAACGCCGTTAAATACTCATTACAGTGACGTTTAAATAAACGTCGTTACAAAAACGCCACAAAATTCTCTTTTTCCTGTAGTGAGCTAATTTGAAAATTTTCATCCAAATAAAAAGTAAATCAAAAAAAGTTTTGGTCTCCCTACACACGAAAAAAAAAAAAAAATTAAACTCTATTTCGAAAATATTTTTTTGAAAATTTATCTATCAAAACCAAACTAAGCACACCTATAAAATTTAAAGTAGTGTTTAATTTACTTTTTAAAATTTAATTTTGTTTTTAAATTATGGTTTGAATCAATTACAACCAAACAGAATTTTAAAATATAATTTAAAATTATTTTCAAAACTTCCATCTTTAGTTTATTATTATTATTAATTAATCAAATTATTATTATTTTTTCTCTAATCTCTCATTTCACATTCTCTCATATTTTATATATCAATCAATTAAAAAAAATTAAAAAATCATCTTAAAATTATTTTTAAAACTCATAACAAAATAAATTTCTTATTTTAAAATCATAATTTAAAAGCTGAAAATATAATTTTACACTCGCACCATAATTTTAAATCAAGGCCATGTTTGTTTTCAGAGGTAGAATTGATGAAATTTATAGTGAGGTGATTAGTAATGAGAGGATTGTTAGTGAGGGGATTAAGTAAAATTGTGTTTGTTTTGATGATAGTTGTTAATGTAAGAATTGTTAACTTTTTTTTATATAAAATAATAAAATAGTAAAATAAATAAAAAATATAAAAAATTAAACATTAGCCCAAAAGTATATACCTGATGAGATAGCAAATACTTCTTTAGAAAATTTAGACATAGAAAACTATGAATTTGAAGATTTAGAAGAATTTGATTTCGAAGATAAGGGAGACTATTGGAACCTAGAAGATTTTCAATAAACAGTTAACCCAAAATTATTTTTTGCAAAAATAGGAAAATTAAAGAAAAAACCAGCATACAGAAGAACAGAAAATGATTTAGATGAGATAATAAGATTAGCTGAAACAATAGAGATTTTAGGAGAACATCCCATGAAATATTGGGAAAGAAATAAAATTTTAACCAGTTTAGATATAAAAAATAAGGATTACAAGATTACATCAGCACAAATAGATCATACGCCAGTAGATATGGAAAAATTTAAAACACAGATTAAAGAGTTACTAGATTTAGGAGTAATTAGACCTAATAATAGCCCGCATAGAAGCGCATCATTTATGGTTAGAAATCATGCAGAAATAAAAAGAGGAAAAGTTGTAATGATTATAAATTATAAAAGATTAAATGATAATACAGAAGATGATAAATACAATATACCAGATAAAGATCAACTCATAAATACAATATAAATAAAAAAATATAAAAAATTAATCATTAATATTTTTTTAAAAAATTCCTAATATATAAAAAATAAAAAAATTTATAATCCTCTCACTATTTTTCTAATACCATCTCTACCTCTTCCATCTCAATTCCCCTTCCAACCTCCATCTATTCACCTCCTCCATCCCAAGAGCATCTCCAACGGTTCACCTAATGTTTCACCAAATCTGAGTAAAAAAATGGCCATTTTCTCAATTTGATACTGAATGCTCCAACGGTTTATCTTCATCAAATCTCCTTCAGGACAACCGGATGGTCAACCGATTATGAGGAATTTTTTTTTTTTTACCTTCTTGAACTTTCTGAACCTACCTCCGTGGGTCAACCGGTTGGTCGATCGGTAAAGCCAATTTTTATTTTTTTTTACCTTTTTGAACTGTTTGAACCAGGCCAATTTCGCATGCACTGGTCGACCGGTTGGTCATCGGGTGGTCGACCAAGGGGTCGACCAGGTGGTCATCCAAGTGGTCGACCTATGTGTAAAATTATGAAGCTTTTCTGTTTCAATGGTCACACACAGTGTTTTGATGAAATATGTATTCTGTCCTCAGTTTGATGAATCGTTTGCTGAAATCTCAATTTGATATCGATTTGGTGCAACCGTTAGAGCACCAAACAGTAATTTTTTCACCAAATTTTAAATTTGATGTCAACTTTGGTGAACCATTGGAGATGGTCTAATCCTCTCCCAAACTCTACAAACAAACACAACACTAAGGAGTGGTTTGGGATGTCATAAATAAGTGTATTTTTTGACTTTTTATAAAAATATGTGTAGAAAAGTAGAGATGAGGTGTTGATTGATGTGACTTAAAAAACATAAAAAGATAAAAAGATTGACTAAAATAGATTATGCCAAACCACCTCTAAATAACCCCACCTCTATTCTAATCCCCTTCTATCTATTTAACCCCAAAACAAATGGGCCTAAAAGGTTATTTCGAAAGTATTAAATTAGTATATTTGTGGACTTTTTATAATAAAAAAAATATAAATTATGAATTGAGTTGAGAGTAATATGATAAAAAAATGATGATGATGTAATTTAAATGAGAAGTGATATAATTCAAATAAGATAATTGTGACTTATCACCGCTATAGATTATAGAGTAGTAGGATAGGGCAAACTGCAGAAGATTTTTTTCGTACTGGGGATTTATTTTGTGTACAGAGAGCATTTACGGGGACGGGGTAAGCAGCCTGACCCTAATACGTCATTTCAACTTAACAGCAGCAGGGACGACCACGTAAATGCGCCGAATCTCCATTTTCTTATTTTAAAAAGATTAAAATTATATTTTAATTTTCATTTTGCTTTCACCACTGCTAATAAAGAAAGAAAAGGCAGCACAGCTCCTGCTGCACCAGCAGCATTTAACTGGCATTTTCGATTTCCGAGCGTTTCTCCAAAACCCACCCCACCCCACCCCTCTCTCTCCAATCTCGCTCCTCCCACTTTCTCTCTCTAAAAACCACCCCCCAAACTTCTCTCCTTCTTGCTTCCTTTAGACATGTATAGGGTTTCTTCTTCACTCTCCGTTCTTGTCGTGACTCCATAGCTCTCTAATGTTGCCATACAAAAATACAGTGAAGAAGCTCGTTTCTATGATCTCCACCTCTTCGTCGCTTGTTGTGTATGTTCGATGTAGATATAAAATGCCTGTATTTATGTTCTTCGACGACGTTGCACGTGAAATCTGAGGATCATGCTTTTTGTATATTCATGTTTGTTTCTTTGACAGTCGAGGTGAGAAATCTGAGGTTTTGAGGGATTCTTTAGAGTAGTCAGAGCTGAAAACAGAGCTGTGGAGGCAGATTTTGTTGTTTCTTGGAAGTTTGGAAGAGAAATCCGAGTATACTTTAGTTCAAAAAGCCGAGATTTCAGGGCAATAAGTGAAAATTTGGACATTTGGGGATTAAAAAATGGAGCTTATCTAGTCAGTTATTCAAAGCTTCATCGACAAGTCGAGAGCGCTATCGTAAGATTCAGCTCTTCTTTTGTCAGTATTATATCGGATTACTTTTCGTTGATCGATTTGGCTGTTACTGAGATTGGAGTTGGAGTGAGTGTGTCGTGAGCCTGAGAATCTTCTGATTCAATCAACGTCGTCCGTTTGATCTTCTGATATCACGAGGAAGCTTAAACCAGCTATAAGGCCGCTCACAGTTTCTACATCTCTGTGTTCCCTTCTCCTTTCTTGATCAGTGTGTTTAGAATTGCACAGAAGCTTCGAATTCGAGTAAAATGGCGATGGCAGTGGCACATCAGCACCGAGAGAGTAGCAGTGATAGCATCAACAGGCATCTCGATGCCGGAAAATATGTCCGGTACACTGGCGAGCAGGTGGAAGCCCTCGAAAGGGTTTATGCCGAGTGTCCGAAGCCGAGCTCTTTGCGTCGGCAGCAATTGATCCGCGACTGTCCCATTTTGTCTAACATCGAACCCAAGCAGATCAAAGTCTGGTTTCAGAATCGCAGGTAAAGAAGAGGCCTTGATGCAAAACTTTGGTTATTTAACTGAATTTCTTGGAATTTTTGTTTAAATGTGTAGATTTTGATTGCAATTCTGCTTATTTGTAAATAAATTAATCTGTGTAATTGAATGTAAATTGGGTTCTTAGGTTGGATTGTGAAACGATTTTTTAAAGTTTCTTTTGGCCTAAGCAGGTGTCGAGAGAAGCAACGAAAAGAGGCTTCTCGGCTGCAGACTGTGAACAGGAAACTGACGGCGATGAACAAGCTGTTGATGGAGGAGAATGATCGGTTGCAGAAACAGGTGTCACAGTTGGTATGCGAGAATGGTTTTATGCGGCAACAACTGCACACTGTATGTTAATTTATCTCTTACCCTATTGTTGCTATTGCTATTGCTATATATTTATGGATCGACTTCTATTTCTCGTTATCTGTCTTTATTGGATGCATTTACTTTCGAAAAGAATCAAAGGGTTGATATTTGTTATATTTGTAGAATGATAATATAAATTTCCAGCTTTGGGAACCCCAACGTTACGGGTTTTTCCAGAAGTTGTGAACAACTAACAACTGGGACCAGTCTGTGGGGTTGTGCATTTTGTTTATTTTGTGATCTTTTTCTTTTTGCTTCTATGTGTTTCAGATGCCTATTATATCTATTTCATGTCTCAAATTGGATGTCCAAACATATTTGCTCAATGCTCTGCATAGATAGCCAGTGAAATTGGTAGCCTGTTCAGTTTTATACTTTGAAAGGAATTATATTTGACTGTTATACAGTATAATAAAAGTCCAGGAATTATATTGAACTGCTCTGAAAAACAACAAAAGTAAAGTTTCCTTATGGCATTTTCATGTTTTGGCTTAGATACCTATGTTCAATGAATGTCCTGCAGGCGTCGGCAGCTACTGATGCAAGCTGTGAGTCTGTGGTAACCACTACTCAGCATTCTATGAGAGATGCTAATAACCCTGCTGGGTAACCCTCCAACATCAATGCCATCACCCGCTCCTCTCTGCAATTCTAAACACATTTGCCAACACACACACAAACCCACTATAAGTAGTATTGTAATATTGACACTGTTTCTGATCTAAATTTTATGCTTTTGCAGACTCCTCTCAATTGCAGAGGAGACCTTGGCAGAGTTCCTTTCAAAGGCTACGGGAACTGCTGTCGATTGGGTCCAGATGCCTGGGATGAAGGTTTTGAATTTGTCTTGTTATTAATATTTGGAAAATTTTCGTTGATTCATTTTAGGTCTATAACAAATGTGGATGCCTTTCTCACTCTGTAAAGCTAAAAATTTCATGAAGCAATTCGTTGAATTTCTTGTCAGCCTGGTCCGGATTCGGTTGGGATCTTTGCAATTTCACATAGATGCAGTGGAGTGGCAGCTCGAGCCTGCGGTCTAGTAAGTTTAGAACCTACAAAGGTATAGTTGGTGGTTTTGATGCCATGTCAGTTTGTAATTTGCAATATGGGTCCCATCATTTTTTGGGATGTGCTAATGTAAGCAAGTTTCAACTCAATATTTTTGTTTCGATATTTTTTGATTAGATTGCTGAGATCCTTAAAGATCGTCCATCTTGGTTCCGGGACTGTCGGAGCCTTGAAGTTTTCACAATGTTTCCTGCTGGAAATGGAGGAACAATTGAACTTTTGTACACACAGGTGAATGATTATGGTTTAAAGCTTCTTCCAAGAATGTTAATGGGGATTTTCCATGTCAGAGAATTAACTAAATCTTGAATTGCTTTCAGATATATGCTCCAACTACACTGGCTCCTGCACGGGATTTCTGGACTCTGAGATACACTACAAACTTAGAGAATGGCAGCCTTGTGGTACGCATACACATATCCTTGAATCTTAGCAGTTCAGTAGTTTTGTGTGGTGCAACTATTTTGCATTTTGGTGGCGTTAATTACTATAATGATTTGACAGAATGGGTTGGGACCATTTAGTTGAGGGAAACTTCATGCATGAATTGTTTGAACCATCTTGTAATGATTCCACTACGAGAATATTACATATCAATGGGATTTGGATAAAAGTTTTGGCTTTTTTGGTGATTCAACAGAATCAACTCAGTTTCTTAGTTGAATGGTATTTGGGTACCTTCCTTGCTCACCAGCCAAACTTGCAAAGCAAAACAACAAAAAAAAAAAAAAATCCTGTTGGGTACATTAAAATTTAAAACTACGAAGCCATCTCAATGAGTAACTCATATTGGTTCAAATCAAGATTTGGTTTCTATTTTATGTATGTATATTTATATTATATATTGCTCCTGAGATAGTTATTACTTCATTGATTATCCTATAATTATGGCATTTGAATTGTATGGGCTACCATCTTATAGATCGAAGGAAGCTGATTTTAATTTGATGTTTGTTCCTTTTTATGTTAAATTTTCAAGGTCTGTGAGAGATCTTTGTCAGGTTCTGGTGCTGGTCCAAATGCAGTTGCCGCTTCTCAGTTTGTGAGGGCTGAAATGCTTCCAAGTGGCTATTTGATTCGACCATGTGAAGGTGGAGGGTCAATTATTCATATAGTTGATCACCTGAATCTCGAGGTTTGTTTTCTGTGGCTAGCATACTATTTCTTTGTTACTTGGCAACAACTCACTTGTTTTGATCTGATTAGGCTTGGAGTGTGCCAGAGGTGCTGCGGCCACTTTATGAATCATCAAAAGTTGTTGCACAAAAAATGACAATTGCGGTGAGTAAAAAAAAATCAAATGTGTCATTGGCATTCAGTTATTGATGTTTTTATTTGGAAAAAGTCCTTGCGGTGATCAGACAATTTTCAATATAATTTATTGGCAGAAAGTTGTCTTTGTCTGGTTAAGTTTCCCATTGGTTTGATTACTGAATGAGGTAGCTGTCAGGCTTCTTAAATATTGTATTGCCAGAAATTGGCTGCTGTGTAGGACCAATTTTCTTGTGTGACACAGTTTTGTCAAAGTATTGATTTCCTATATAGTTCATTAGTCTAAAATCTGTGTGTAACTTGGCACACCTCATTTTCTAAGTAAGCCTGAATTCATGTTGTATGCGTGAGTTTTGTACATACGGAAGTAATTAACCATTTTCCTATGAAGGCATTGCGTTATATCAGGCAAATAGCTCAGGAGGCAAGTGGGGAGGTAGTATATGGCCTGGGCAGACAGCCAGCTGTTCTGCGAACTTTTAGCCAAAGATTGAGCAGGTAGATTTATGTTTATAATTTCTTAGTTCCTTCCTCTTCATTGTGTATGTAAATGTAAAAATTTATTAACTGTATATACTTGTGTAGATGGTAATTATAACCCACGTTTTTCTCCCACTTATAATGTCATATCATTTACCTTTTTTTCCCTGCAGAGGTTTCAATGATGCTGTCAATGGATTCAACGATGGTGGCTGGTCAATAGTGAATTGTGATGGTGCTGAAGATGTTATGGTTGCAGTTAATTCAACCAAAAATTTGGATGCCACTTCTAGTCATTCTAATTCCCTTTCGTTACTTGGCGGCATCCTATGTGCGAAGGCATCAATGCTACTCGAAGTGAGTTTTGGTTTCAATTTTTTGAATTCAATTTTCTGAAAATTGTGTTTTTTTGTTTTTGTTTTTAGTGAATATTTTTAAAATTTTAAGCAAATTTTTTACTTTTTAGATGCAGCTAACCTAGATGTACCTAAAAACTAAAATATTTGTAAAAAATATTTTAAAAAATCAATAAATACACAATAATACGAAAATGTAGTGAATTTTCCCTTCTTTTTTTTTTTTTTTTTTTTTTTTTTGGTATTTAGTTATTTTTGTAAAGATTTTTTCCACAAATATTGTATTTTTTAAGTGTATTTATGTTAGGTTTATCTAAAAACGAAAAATATTTGCTTAAAATATTTTTTTAAAAAAATTAGTGAAAATGAAAAAATACAAAATACAAAAAAACTCAATTATCTGAACAGTGAATTCAAAATTCTGAAACCAAACAAGGTGATATTATTAATGTAGTGTTGCCTTTGCTTTTTGGCTGAATAACTTCTAATGCTCCGGTTGGATAAATGTGAATTTCAAATCAAGAAATTTGAGGTTAAAAAAATTGGGAGTTTGCTACTATAGATGAATAGAAAAACTATAGAAGTTGAATAGAATTTATGTATTTTAGTATGATCCTTGTAGCCAGAAGCAGAATCCTTGACATGATTTCAAATAGACTACTTTTATTATGGTAATTTTAAGTATATCATGATAAAGTTAATTCATTCTTGAAATTCATCGGTAAACTTTCAAATCTAAATTTTAGTTATTCTACTTAATATATTTACTTTTTCTGTGATTGAATCAAAATTACCAAATTGGAAGATTTAGTAGAATGTTGATTGTAAGTCCTGTATTGGTTGTATAAATATTGAGATAATGTGTGTTCCCTTTATTCTGCTAGAATGTTCCTCCTGCAGTGCTGGTTCGCTTTCTGAGGGAGCATCGCTCTGAGTGGGCTGACTTCAATGTTGATGCTTATTCTGCTGCGGCACTGAAAGCTAGCTCATTTGCATATCCGGGGATGAGGCCTACGAGGTTTACTGGGAGCCAAATTATCATGCCGCTTGGTCACACGATTGAACAGGAACAGGTATGTTTTCGATCGTAGTGATCTTTTCATCTTCTCAGCAACCAATATGTGTTCAGTCTTTCTAATGAAGGAAGTTGAGATTTTGACTCTTTTCTTCCCCGTTTGAATATTTTGTATACCAATATGAATTACTTAACGCCTGTTGTATTGCTTTCTTTCTTTGTTCCTTCTTTCAAGAAACTTCTAGAAAATGCATACCACTCTTTACTTTTGCATAGTTGTCATTTCCTTTTCACACCTTTTGTTCTGACATTGCAGACGCTTGAGGTAATCCGCCTCGAAGGCCACTCTTTTGCACAAGAAGATGCTTTTATGTCCAGGGATATTCATCTGCTTCAGGTCCTTTCTTCAGTGTCCCGATAAATTTGACCACTTGAGTGAAAATTTGAATGCTTAGCCCTGAAAATATATTTAAGATATTCAGCAGAGAGTTGCTTTTATTGCAGATATGTAGCGGTATTGATGAGAATGTTGTGGGTGCCTGCGCTGAACTTGTTTTTGCTCCGATTGATGAAATGTTTCCAGATGATGCCCCACTGCTACCCTCTGGTTTTCGCATTATACCTTTGGATTCAAAATCAGTTGAGTTGAATATTTTCCTCCTGGATCTCCATTTATTATGTTACTAAAGGTCTTATCTATTAGAATTGCTGTATCTAATAACAAAACTATATACTATTAAGTGCATTTTGATTCGCTGATTCCCCACTTTCATGTAACCTCTGTTCTAGTTGCTGGCACAATCCATTTAGACTAGTCAGTTTTCAGTTATTTGTTGAATCAAAATTTTAGTTTGATGCACCCAAGTAAATTGTGTTTGCCTGAAGATAAATGGTTTATTGCAAGGACTCGTCGAAGTTTTATTCTGACATACCAGAGGCTTTCTTCAGTATTCATGATAATGTATTGTAGTGGGAGGTTGTATCTTTATACTGGCTCTGGTTGTAGGTCCTTGAAATGTTAATCTATTGGTGGCCTTTTCTCAAAATTGCAACCAGATCGAGATGGCATGAGCCTGAAATGTGCTTTAATACTAAGTTGAATGTTAACATTTTAACTGTGGTTTTTCTCTGACATAATAAAAATTTTGTTGATTAGTTTTGTTCCAGATGGAGTACTAATGTTTTAATTGTTCAGTCTGATATGCAGGATACTTTAACTGCAAATCGGACCCTGGATCTGACATCCAGTCTTGAAGTGGGCCCAGCAACAAACCAAGTTTCTGGTGATACATCCTCATGTTACAACGCACGATCAGTGTTGACTATTGCTTTTCAGTTCCCATTTGAGAACAATCTGCAGGATAATATCGCTGCAATGGCTCGCCAATATGTACGTAGTGTGATTTCCTCTGTGCAAAGGGTTGCGATGGCCATATCTCCATCAGGATTGAGCCCCACTGTGGGACCAAAGCTATCTCCAGGTTCACCAGAAGCTTTAACTCTAGCTCACTGGATCTGCCAGAGCTATAGGCAAGTTGTGCTTTTATTTCTCCTAATTCATGTTCAATATGTTGCAAGCCATTATAATTTTATTTACCAAGTACGAGTTCATTGTGGGTTCAGTCCTGCCTCTTGAATGTTTGCTTAAAATTTTTTATTTAGAAAGAAGTCAACATGCTATTTCAATTTTTCTTAGATCTCTCATTCAAACTGTAATAATATTGTACTCCTTTCAAATTAAGAAAAAACATCTTTTGTCCTTTGTTTCTCAAATGGGGTCTAATATTTTTTTCACTCTCTGATTTTATATTTTGGGGTTCCTTTTCTCAGTTTCCATTTAGGGACAGAATTGCTGAGATCCGATTCTGTGGGTGGTGAGTCACTGTTGAAACACCTCTGGCATCATCCCGATGCAATATTGTGCTGTTCATTGAAGGTACATGACCCAACCAATGCCTTTTACAGAGCTGTTTCAGATGTTTAGTTTGTTCTGAGGAATTGTTGATATTTCTCTTGTTTTTGTCATTTGTGATTCCCTCAATCACAGCAAGAAAATGCAACATCAATCTGCTAGTCTAAAAGGATAGAGGCGGATTTATGCGTACAGATATTTCTGACCATTGTATCTTGAAATTGCTGGTTGACACATGATGTTAAACAAAAATCGTAGTATAGAAGCATGACATATTCAATTGGTAATTCAGACTCAATGTAGAAATTAAACAGCCAAGTAAAAATGTTCCTATCAGTGAGACATCAATTTGAAATTTAGCAACTGTAGTTTTGGACTAAGCAGCAGAAGCCTGTAATGTGTTTGTTTATGGAGGTTTTGGTTTGATTGTCCATTTCTTGGCTAATTTTAGGTGGTGTGCATGCAGTGTTGTTATAATCATCGTGATATTTGATAATCACGACTACTTTTCATTGTTGCAGTCGCTACCAGTCTTCATATTTGCAAACCAGGCAGGGCTTGACATGCTGGAAACAACTCTGGTGGCTTTACAAGATATCACACTGGATAAGATATTTGATGAGTCTGGGCGAAAGGCTTTGTACTCAGACTTTGCCAAGATAATGCAGCAGGTACTTTTTTACGCGAGACAATATCATTGTTTGCATAATAAAAAGGATATGGCATTAGATTTGATGTGGACAATCATAATCAAGGTCTTGAATTTAAATTGTGAGAGGTATATACTTCGGAGCCTTTCAGAGAAGAACAGGAAGTGGCGAAACAAGTTTGGTATTTGTATTGTAGAAGTCCCGGTGATAGAATCATTTGTTTATTTCATATGCAGGGGTTTGCTTGCTTGCCGGCCGGGATATGCATGTCGACAATGGGGCGCCATGTTTCGTATGATCAAGCCATCGCATGGAAAGTCCTTGCAGCTGAAGAGAATACTGTCCATTGTCTCGCATTCTCTTTTGTAAACTGGTCATTTGTGTGAGTCTTTATATTATTTGTTCATCCAGCATCCTCTTTCCTCCAATGGTGTAGGGTAATTGGAGGGGTGAAAGTTAGAAAAGTTGCAAATGGAGGAGGGCCCCAAAAAAGAAAAAAAAAAAAAAAAAAATCCCAGCTTGAGGTTTGCATTACATTAATTTAATTAATTAAATGCTCCCATGTTTTGGTTGGTTAGTGTGAATTTTGTTTGTGGAGCGTCATTGTTTTTACAGTTAATTTTTTTTTTGGAACTTGAAAATGAAAAGTGAGTCTAGTTGGGGAGTTCCTGTCATGACTAATATCTGGAAAACTAGAGCAAATCACACCAACCTACCTATAATTGCACGAGCGTAAAAAATTGAAATTAGGTCCATCAAATTTACGAGAGAAAGTCAACTCAAATTGAATGAAATGTTAAGAGTCAGAATAGCTTTATTACAGAGTTTCAAAAATAGGTCAGTCCTTGCATTGTATGAAATGTACCAGAAGTAGAAGGTAAGGTGTACAAGAACCCACTTGAATTCTGATACTCATCTATTTACGAATTAATAAATTTAGTACTATTTTATTTTTTCGGAGAGGGGTTGGAAGGGGCTGGCGTTTCTTTAAGCGAGTTAGATGCTTGCCTAAATTTTATTATTTTTTCAGAGGCCTTAATGCTTTAAATAATTTTTTTGTGTCTTAGTCGGCCTGTAAAAATTTAAGAAAAAAATAATAATAATAAAGAACTTTGTCCATAGGTCTGTTTAGAAGAAAAAAATAAAACACGTTTTTGGTCAAAGGCCTAGAAAATAACCGGGTTTTTTTTTTTTAGAAGTCCTTGGTATTATGATTTTATAGCATAAAGGACACTCAATATTTTTATGTCTAAAGTCCTTTAACATCGATTTAGAGAAAATTCAACTAGAGAATTTCTCTCCAGAGAAATTCTGAATTTCTTTGGATTCTCTATTGTGTTTTAACCAAATTTCTCTCGATTTCGAAATTTCTCTTCAGAGAAATTTTGAATTTCTCTGGATTCTTTGTGTTTTGAATAATTTTCTCTGTACTTCGGAATTTCTCTCCATTCTGAATAAAAAATTGTTATTTTGGTCATCAATTGAACACTGGGTTGTGTTTTGTACCATATTAGTAACAGGTTGGAAATGAGTTTTCTAAAAAATTTGATTGGAATTATTTAGGAAATGTTACGAACAGGCATGGGAATTGCTGCTTGAATTGTTATAGAAACATTAGTGAAACAATGCAGTTCTGAATAAGTTTTCTTGAGCCCTTCGTATAATAATTAACTAACACTGCTTTCTAGTTTCTTCAATCTTTTCATCTAAAGTTTTGTGTCATATCTGCTTTTTTAGACCTTTTTGCTTCCCAAATTTCTTACTAGTTGTCATATTTCTTCTTGCGTCATATCATATTCATGTATATATTGAAAGCATTTGCTTTGTTCTATTTATCATGCATTCTTTTGTTTCTGCTTCCATAAACCATCAGTTGCAGTTCAGATGGAAATGAAAAGGTTGTCTTGTTTCCATTGACCTTGTTCCAGAGAAATTTTGAATTTCTTTGACTTCAGAATTTCTCCGACTTCGGAATGTGTTTTAACCAAATTTCTCTGACTTCGAAATTTATTTCCAGAGAAATTCTGAATTTATCTCCATGATCCCTAGTTCATGTGCCTCCAGGACCATCCGTAACTGGCTTGTGATTCAGATAATGAATAACAGCATCTTCAACCCTGTTTAATCCACACTAAATAAATAAATAAATAATCATGACTCTTATATAAGAAAGTACCAATCACAAACTTAATTAGCAGCAAGTAGCAAATGAGCTTACCATGGTTGATTGAAGAAATCCGAGCTTTTTTCGGCACTACGACTTGCTTCCCCTGCTACAAGCTTTAGATCCCTACTTTGAGATTCAACCAAAGCATTTATGAATTCCACTGGCGATTGGCTGAACCCAAGAAAGAAGGATCGTCTCCTATGGTGCCATCAACTAACTAGCATGTGCAGGAATAAACCCACACCTCACCTCGCACAGGAACGGAAATCAACAGCACTGCTGGACCACTACCATGCATGGCGGAACCACCGACTTGGAACAATGGAACCTGAATCTCCATATTTACCAGCTTGGACACCCAGACCAAATGGTACGGTCCAACTCAAGATCTGCCTCCGCGAAGAAGACAAAGTTTAGACAGACAGAAAAAAAAAAAAGAAAAAAGGATTAAAAAAAAAATGACTTGAGAGAGTTAATTTTCTCTGTGATATATTGGTGTGGAAGTTGAGGGACCTTAGATATCATAATATAATATTGTGGATCTCTTCCATTACTAAAATTGGAAGATGGATCTTAGACCAATTTTTCCAAAATAAAAACTTCTATTTTCCATAATTCACCAGTAATAAAAATTGAAAAATATGTTTTTCAAAAGGCCCCAATTAGTAAATTCAATAATTTCATTTTAATTACAAGTTTATACACGCAAAAAAATATTTTTAAAATAAAAAATTTACAATCTAAGAAAAATTATATCAATAAAACATGGTTAAATTATAGTAACACTTCCTTGGGTTGATCTAATTATATTCTATTTTTTAACGTTCTAAAAATTACATTTTTGCTTTGTGATTAATAATTTCATTTCATGACCCTGTTTATATAAAGGTAACAATTTTTAATAGAAAAATAAAAGAAATTATATTGGGAAAAAAAGAAAGAAAAGAAAGTAAAGCAAAATAAGAAAAGAGAGTGTATGAATTCAATACTTTTATTCCATGTAAATAATTATAATAATAGGAAGATTTGTATAATTTTTTAAACATTAAAAAATAGGGCAAATTACACTAACAGTCCCTATAGTTTGGGACTCGTGTTACTTTGGTCCATGACTTTTCAATTGTGACACATTTGAACCTGAATTTTGAATCTTGTTCCAAATAAGGACAATTGAAGATGTCATTGTTTAATTTCAATAGCAAAATCGTCAATTTAATAAAATATAAACTACTTCGACAAAAATAAATGTCAAAAAATATTTTTTTATTTTTTTTAAATTTTTTTAATCCACCAATATTAAAAGTATGTAAAGTTGATAAATAAAAAAAAACTAATAAAAATTACATGATTATTTTTAAAAAATTAATTTTACATGATCATCATCCAAACACATAATAAAAATTAATTTGGTAAAGCAAAAAAAAAATTGTTTAAAGATTTATCAATTTTACATAATTTTATTTTTAGTTAGTAGAAATAATTTTTAAAAATTTAAAAATATTTGTTTGATATTTATTTTTGTCAAATTAGTTTATATTTTATCAAATTGACAATTTTACCCTTGAAACATCTAATGATATCTTCAATTGTTTTTGTTTGGAATAAGATTCAAGGGTTAAATGTGTCACAATTGAAAAATCATAAACTAAAATGACATAAATTTTAAATTATAGGAGCTATTAGTATAATTCATCCTAAAAAATAATATATAATCCAAAATCCAAGTGGTGTAAGCGTAAGTTAACCATAAAACATTTTCCCATGGAAATTTTGTTTTAGCCCAATAATATTGATTGGGCCGGCCCTTGAGGTGGTGCTTAAGATGTGACACTTAAGTGTGTTTGATTTGAGTTTTTTGAATTAAGTTTTTTAAAAATTGATTTTTTTTAATTTTTTGTTTTTAGTGAATATTTTTAAAATTATAAAAAAAAATTTTACTTTTTTATATGCACCTTACTTAGATGTATCTAAAAAGTAAAAAATTTGTGAAAAAATATTTTAAAAAATTAATAAATACAAAAAAATATAAAAAATGGATTGAATTCTCGTATTTTTTGTATTTAGTGAATTTTTAAATTATTTTTTCACAATTTTTTTACTTTTTAGGTATATTTATGTTAGATATGTCTAAAAATTAAAAAAAAAATTGTTTAAAATATTAAAAAAAATCAGTAAAAACAAAAGAACACAGAAAACAAAAAAATAAAATTTTCTGAAAAGTGTTTTTAGAAAGCTCTAACCAAACAAATTATGATTAAGATTTTAAAATGTTAATTCTTATTATATTTTAATGTAAATTTATTAATAAGAATAATATATATCAAATTAAAATTTTTTTTTCCTACGGGTGAGCATGGTCCCGATTGGTCCGGATTAGAACAAAATTAGGACCAATCCGTTATCTACGATTTTTAAAAAATTAGAACCAATCCAATCCGTTTATATCATGGAACCAATCCGAACCAATCTATTTAAACACGGATTGGATCGGTTTAGAATTACGAATTCACATAATTAAACAACAAAAAAAATAGAACATTTTAATTTCATAAAAACATAAACATAGCATTATATTAATTCCACAATAGCAGCAGATCTTTTCATAATAGCGACATACTATTTTAGAATTTAAACAACGATAAAAAAACTGATTCCATCATAAGTATTTAGACCATTATAAATTAAAACTAAAAACCAACAAACAAAAACAATAAAAGAATATACTATGCGGGTTTAGGTTTTACATGAAATAAGGGAAGATACTATACAGAGGGTGTATAGTATAAATATAGGCTATTTGTATACGGTCCGGATCGGTTCTAATCCGGACAATCCGAAATCGTGGGGTTCAATCAAAACCGATCCGTGGACTACGGATTTTTAATTTTCGATCCGAAACCGAACCACGGATTCAAAAAATCAATCTGAACCTACCGGATCGGACTAGACCAGATCGGATTATAGATTTCACGGATTCTTTATTCAACCCTAATACATCCTAATAAGATATAGGTGTTCTTTATCTTTTTCATCAGATAAAAACTCCAATTTTTATTTATTTATTTATTTTATTTTTTTGTGTGCATAGAATGTTAATGGAAACCTAGGGGCATTGCAAGCTAAAACAATTTGTTATGTTTGCCAATGATCGCAAATTTAAATATATAATTCATAACTCTAAATCTATACTATCTATATAATCAAATGTAATGGTTTTATCAAAAATCTGTAAATATTCATTCCTAAATTCTCATAATTTTAAAATTCTCTCTTTCCTACGTGGCAACCCTTTTTTATTGTCTTTCGTGTTTTCTATTTTCCTCTATTTTCTATTTGTTTGATTAATTAAAATGAAAATTAATTTCATGACTTATGGATAAAGATTTGAATTTCAAAATTCCTCCATATAGATAAACA